GTGCTCGCTTGTTTTCGCTCTTGCGAAAAGAAAACCGCAAACCAGTCGATCCGCGTCATGGGAAAATCAAATGAGGGTTTTTTTTTTAACATAACCGTCAAATAATCGGAATGGAGTAACACACTGTTTTTACTTTTGCGAAATCTGCCGTTCGACCAGACCTATCGTAATCGGATTCATTTTACAGTTACGATACGCCTACGACGATGCCGCGCAAGCTGCAATTACCCTCGAAAGGACAGGAGCGACCTGCATTTTGAATACGATAAGATCATAACTGTAGTCTTCGTTCTCCGCAACGGTCTCTTAATTAATAAACGCAAGCAGCCATAAAGTCAGCGACGTGGAGAATTTCGCGGGAGCCCATAGAGCGCGCGAGTCTCGCTCGTTCCGCGCAAACGAGATTCTTCCGGCGACGACGTGCTACGTGACGGGAGACCGCGCGTCACACTGCTACGCGTATCGTACGTACGCGCGTTGGTCTCGCCCGCAAGGTCGCCTCGCGCAGCGCTCATTTTCGCTCGCTCGCTCGCTCGCCAATCAATCCAGATTGCAGATGTACGTACACGCGATGTTTAGCTGACAAACCTCACGTACGCGCGTTTTCTCTCTCTCTCTCTCTCTGGCGTTTGTTTGTTCTTTTTTGTTTTTGCGCGCGGCCGATCGCCGGGTTCGTTGCACGCGAGCCTCGACGAGGGGGATTCTTTTGTTTTTTGTTTTCTTCTTTTTGCGCACGAAACACCAGAAGTTTGACGGAAACTGTGCTCCGCTCTGTCCGCGCGAGAAGGAGTCCATTGTAACGAACAAAAGAACGGCACGCAGAGGAGAGAAAGAAGCTGGATTCGTTTATTGGCTCGCTTGGTCTGCGCAATCTGCGCAACGCTTACGCAACCGCGATTTGATAATCGGGCACAGAGAGAGGTGTATTCACCTTTTGACTTTTCGCGCGGCGGGCGACTTGACCTTCCGGAATCCAAGTGGAAAGAGAGCGAAGGATGCGGCGCGCAGGGTAATAGCTGATCGAGGACCAGTTGAGGCGCGTCGCCAATTCAGCTCACGATCGAAAGCAAAAGGCGGCGCTGTCGGGAAAAGGAACGAGCGAGCGAGCGAGGTGCTGTAGGCATTAGACCGCCTGGTTTGTGATTCAAGCGGCGAGGTGACGCGCGCGTGCACGTTGTCTAGGATGGTCCTCGCACGAGAGCAGCCACACGCAATCCAAACTCACTGCCGTGCGCGGCCTTTCTTCGGGACAATGACCAGCCATAAATCGCGCCGCTCTTTTTTTCAACTCGCTCTGCCGAGCGATGAGTGTGGTTTGCGTAACGCGACGACGCCGGTATATGACGTTTTTGGCGCGCTCGTAAGTCACGAGATGGCCCGTGGTCTGCCGGATTCGGGATTCGGTCGAGAGCGCGGAATAGTAGGCCGATCGCGATAGGCGACGGCGATCAGCACTTCTGGCACATTTCGGATCGAGATTAGTTTTATCTGGTACGAGCCGCGACAAGCGGACGTTGCTCCTCTGCGTGACTCTGCTGTCGTCGCGCGTTGCGCGATCGCGAGGCAAGAGGTCGACGTACCTGCGCGCGCGCGCGCCTCTCCGCTCGTTTTTTTGTTTTTTTGTTTTTTTGTTTTTTTTGTTTCTTTGTTTCTTTTATTCCTTTCTTTGTTTTTCTCTCCGCAAGGCCTCTTTGTCTTTCCGTACGGATCCGAATCGTTCGAGAAAAAGAAATCCGTGGAGGATAGGACGCGCGCGTATAACGGTAAAAGCTAGTCGGAGAGCCGTGAACTGGGTCGTCGCGAGTGAGGCTTTCCACGCAGCGGGATCTTTGGCGTGCAGTCGCTTCGGACGGGTCCGAGAAGGACTAACCATCGCTTGCTTTTTGTGGCTTGTTGCAGAGGTGGAGTGCGAGGTGTCGAGCCAAGTGGGAGTACCAGCTGCAGGCGATCTGGGGTTGTGAGCATACGCGAGCTGCACCTCGCGCTCTGGAAGCCCTGGAGTGCCCTCAGGGACGCATCCCTCAATGGCACTCTGCTGCAAGGCAACGCACAATACTTCACGCCGCTCAAGCGTATCCTTTTTGCCTTCGTTTTCAAGCTCGATCTTTATGGACCGCTCGAGCTTGTCGTTTTATTGACTTTGGACAAACTTTCCTCGATGCGCTCCTACGTTTCGAGCTTTAACGACTCCATTGTTTACAGCGCCAGTTGCCTAATGGTTATTGCTGCGGCGGGTTTCGCAAACAGAAAAAAGCACAAACACGAATAAATTCAAGAGAGACAGATGCAAGTTTGCTAATGGAATGGAGTATATCAAACAGTAATTTGTTGCGGATACTCTCTCTTTCTCTCACGCTCTCGCTCGCTCTCTCCTCTTTCTCTCTCTCTTGAAAATATTAAAAATACATTTTTTTTATTATATATTACAACAATGGAAAAGGATTCTTACTTCGTTTTCTTTCTCAATTTAAATAGCGTACTGCTAAATCTCTAGTTATTTGCGCAGTACACTTAGCTCAACTTTAATTATATCGTTTTATACTTTGTTATTATATTTATCTTTATTTTTATCTTTACTCTGCCTTTGCCTTTTATTTTATCTTACTATTGTACTTTTAGTTATCTTAGCGTGTCGTTTTTTTAAATTCGTTACACATCTTTTAACTTTATTTGTAAATTTTGATTTAAAGTGTTTTGACTTTTATTGTCGCTACTCGTCGACAAACAATATCACGTATTACCTAAATAAATTCATCTCACTGCTCACGATTTGATTAGCTTCATTTTTTATCTCTCGTTCATTGAAATCTCGTATTATTGAAAACCGCCAGACGGGGTTCTACCTCATTGATGCATTAAAGAACTATTCTATTCTATCTCTGTCTCTCTCGCTTTCTTGACTTTTACCGCGAAAGTTGGGAAGATTGGAAAGCATGTATTTCGAGTTAGGAAAGCGCACACACGCGACTTCTCACGATTGATTTCTATCGATACAGCGACGGAGACTGAGAATTTCGCGGAATGATTCGTCCGAGTGGACGCGGGAAGGGAGGATGATTTAACCGCGTAATAACGCAGCACCGCGCAGTCGACCGTAGAACGTAATAATTTTCCTTGACTGAGATGATGATGACGACGACAACGACACGCAGTAGACAGCCGCACGGCGAGGAGACGCTGAGATTGTCGCTGCCAGCGCCCGAATTAGAATTGGGCACGCCACCACGGCTCTGTTACCCACTTGTCATCTTCCTCACGCGCACCGACACCAGAGAGTTACATCCCGACGAGACGGTGAGATGAGCAATATCGTCGAGTCGGAGCGCGACGATCGACGATCCGGGCGCATCGCCGGCCCGCGACGAGCCGTTCGCTCGAGCTTCGTCGGACGCGACCGTTGCGCAAGTGCGCGCCATTAATTAGAGCGTGATTCCGCGCGCCCTTGAAAACGAATAAACGAATAACGAGCAAAGGATCGATCAGTTTCGTAACTCGTCTTTTCGGCGAATCGAAGGCTCCAGAGGCGATTGGGCAAGAGGTACTAATACGTGTGTTGCTGTGTTGGCAGGTTGCGCTGGTGAATGTCGTTCACATTAAGGATAGCGTGTGCACGCTGCCGACCTCGATTCTCGCTCAGTATCTGAAGCAGGCTAACGGACAGTTGTCCTGCCTCAAGGTAAGCTCTCGTCCCGTCAACGAAACGCACTCGCGCTGCACATGCGCCGCACGCGCGCCCGTTCGTGCCTCTTCTTCGTCTTCTTCTTCGTCTTCTTCTTCGTCTTCTTCTTCGTCTTCTTCTTCGTCTTCTTCTTCGTCTTCTTCTTCTTCTTCTTCTTCTTCTTCTTCTTCTTCTTCTTCTTCTTCTTCTTCTTCTTCTTTTTGACGCCCGCATGCGCGAACGACGAGCAAGGCACTAGTCCAACGACTGTCGCCTTGTCTCGGAGCCGACCTTGTCGTTCCCCGTGACGCACGGATACTGACGACCACGACGACGACGGAGCGCCAGCTGGACGGATACGAAGAGGAGGGGAACGGACGAAAAACCGTCGGTTTTCGTCTTTCACTTTCGGATTGGCTTAACCTCGCGAATGCGCTTGTCCTCGGACGCAACGCGCGTATGCAATTCTGGAAGCGAAAAGCCCCCTGGGCTTCGGAAACAGCGTTAAACGGATGGCAAAGCTATTCTTTTCCGCGCCAAAGTCTGTCTCGGCAAGTCGTTGTCGCGAGTTCGACGACTCGCGGCGATAAACGCGTCTGGCCAAATTCATCACTTTCTTTCTCCGCTATTCTTTCTTTTCTTTCTTCCTCCCACTGTCGAACGTGGCGCCACATTGAAATCAGAAGCTCGCTGTTTTATTATTATTTTTTTCTCTGGCGAAACGTTCAAATTTGAATTTCAAAATATCACTTTCAGTTTGCGAGGACGAGAAAAACACGAGGAATATCAATCAAACGATTTTTTTCTTTTTTTTTTCTTTCAATTTTTTCGTTCCACGCGCATACAAGTGTAATGTCATTTTCCTCGTTCGAGGAGCCCATTACGCAAATTTATTTTGAAAAGCAGAAGACTTGAAAAGCGTCGCTTGTCGCCAGAAATAGACGTTGAATTGCGAAGCCGACTGTTGAATAAAAGTACAACGATGGTTGTGTCGACTTGCCGCGCGCTCGACGAACGCCTGCAAATTCGCTAATGAGCGAAGGAGCGTTATGATGACCGCCCGGCCCGGATAAAGCCCCACTCGTCACACTAAAGTCGCGCGTGTCCTCGACTGTTCACAGCAATTGTACCTGGCGACGGGCAACTCGACCAACTACGACGAGATGGGCGTATCGTCGGGTCTGGGGCCGGCGTTGGCGCTGGCCGAGCCGTGCCCGAACAACGGCAGCAACACGAGGGACGCGCTAGTGGCGTCCGGCGCCGGCGACAGCGAGGGCTCCTTGTGGAACAGCGCCGGCGAGCAGCTGTGCGTGGTCTGCCAGTACTTCCCGCTGTCGCGGGCGTTGCTGCCGTGCCGACACACCTGCATCTGCGCCTCCTGCTTCGGCAAGCTCGATCGCTGCCCCATGTGCCGCAGCCCCATCAAGAGCTACTTCTGCATTCGCGGCGAGGAGTACATGCCGCCCGAGAAGGAGATCAACTCGTGCAAACAGCGCGCCAGGACGCAGGCGTCGCACTGGCTGCACGACTGGAACGATCGGCTGACGGATTTTTTGGGATTCACTCGGTAGAGAGATGCCGCCACTACGACAACGACGACGGCGACGACGACATTGTGATTCTTCTTTGATTCTTTTGCTTTTCCCTTGTGATTTTTACCGTCGAGACTACGAGCCAGCTGCGTGCGTTGGATTTCACATCTGATCCCGATTCTTCTTTTTCTTTCTGACTTTTCGTATTTGATTTCATGTTCCACTGATTGATCTCTGTTTCGAAATTCTGCGTGCAAACGAAAATCGCCCCGTCGAGGAAGTAAAAATCCAGTGTGAGATCGTCGTTAACGATGCGTCCCTCGTCGAGGATTATATTGATTAACGACTCACTTGACTTTCTTCTATTTATTATCGAAAACTTCGTCTAGCGTTATGATCGTCTTTTACGTGCCAGTTTGACTATCTCGCGTATAACGCTGACTCCTTTGTGTTTATTATTGTCAATTTTTTTTTGTATCATTGACTTTGGCTTAACGTCGTTTTGCATATCGTCACTCAGACACACACCCACCCACCCACACACACCCCACACACCCACACACACACACACACACACAGACTAGGACTTGCCGATGTCATTCCTCGTTCGTAAGGACTCGTCAAAGTGGTGACTGATAAGACTTTTTCTTTCCCTTTTTATTTTATTTTTTTTTTTTTATAAATGTTTGCTCTTCTTTTTTTTCTTTTGTAATCGCATATGAATGATGACCGTCCGTAAAGTATTTTTCCCCACACTGCGCGAAAAGTGGTAACTGTGCGCCCTCGTAGCAGGAGGTATAGAATCGCTCACAGACTAGAGTAAAGTATCTCGGGCATGCTCAAATCCTGACGGCTCGAGCGGTAAAACAGCGCGTCGTGTGCCCACGAGGCACTTTACTTTTCCCATAGCGTCAATGTGGTTCTTTGTCGTCTGTTGAGGGTGTAACATCGCCTCTTCGCGGGGCTGTGTGGAAAACGATTATACGCAATACAGGAGTACAAGTAGGCAAACGCACGGTGCATATTTTGCCGACTATACTCCCTAGTAGCGTAAATATATTATTCAACGAAGGAGCGACCAATCGTTGGCTTTTCCCTTTTGAACATTCTCAGAGTTGGCACAATCAATGTTGCTGCCTATAAATTACTTTTGCGATCACAAGCGCGTTCAGTAAACAATACGATGGCGTGTTCTTGTGAAAGCTTTGCTCGTTATATTTTTTAATTGTACAATTGACCATTATTTATTGTTAATACGCTTCGAATGTCGTAAACGAAAAAAAATAATCAACGTTCATATGAAGTGTTTGGACAGCTGCGAGTAGCGTACGCGTGCGCCTTTTCTGTATTTATTATAAGTGCCAAATTTAATTCTCAATATAGGATCGTAGGATTTGAAAGATGCACTGTAAATATGCCACTTAAATCCATATTTTTTTCTCTTTATTTTATAATCTGTAGACTTTAAATTTAAATTTAATCTATGTCAAACGAATGCTCGTAGCTATGGGACACTTCTAATGGAGCAAGTGAATGTAATAATTTTTTTTGTATTCTTTAATTCTCATATTTAAATGCTGCACTTGCAAAAACCAAAAAAAAAATGTCTGTATTCATTTGACGTACCATGATAATCTTCTATTTTAAATCGTCATTTTAAAGAGATTATTGTACTGCATTTATAAAATTTAAAGGAAGCACGAATCGTTTGATCAAGGTGTATGAGAGGCCATTTTATAATATTTACACCTCAAATTATAATATACAATTTTAAAAACAAAATAAATTATAGTAAGTGAGAGAATGAGCGATCAAATACAATCACTTTAATTAAACCAACGTTTAAATTGATTATAGCTGAAATATTATCGTATTAAACCTCATTGCATGTACTCTTTCATCAAGTGTTTTCATTCTATTGAGACAAAATATCTTGTGAATTCTATGCTTATAAAGGTACTCTTGACTTTCTCCAAGTTTCTTCTTCGATCTCGTCTTATATGAGAACGTAGGAACGTAAGTCTATCAAGGAAAAAAAAACACTAAATAAAACACGTAATGAAGAACGTAGAAAACGTAGAATGTAACTTAAGATTTAAAAAACAAAAAAGGAGGAATTTTAATGATAAGTTGTAAATACACAGTCTGTGATAATCCTGATTAAAAGCTGTATAGTGGACGAATGTTGCTCGGATGGAAGAGGCTTTTGCGATTATTGAAATTGTAGTAATGATTTTTTTAAGATCGTGACTCGCGAGCCTGATATAATTTTATTATTATTATTATTATTATTATTATTATTATTATTATTATTATTATTATATATAAATATGAAACTTGCGCTGACAATTCGAACGGAGTAGAATGTCGAAACACTATTAACTAGCCTTATTCGTAATCTCCAGTAATGTTTGCAAAGTTTTATTACTTGAGTAGCGAAAAAATAAAAAGATGTCTCAGCAAAAGCCATAGATTATTTGGCTAAATTGTATATATTATACATTCATTGTAGCAGCTAAGGCCTATGAAGTCAATGTATTTTAGTAGAACGAATTTAATTATCGAGTTATTAATTTATGCAGTAAGCATAATATTCCAGTGATGCAATAAAAAGAAAAAAAAACAACACATTACCCGTATGCAAGGACTTGTACATAATTTATTTAATAAAGAGTGTCGTTCCTAAATATTTCACCGTCTCGTTATTTCACATTAATAATTAATATAAGCTCCTACTACATAAACACATAGTGCTGTAAAATTTTGAACAACATAGGAATGAAGCTTTAGATTAATTTTACATCATTTGAAAGAAGATTTTTGTATTATTTATTGTTATTAAATATAAATTGATTTATGTCATAAGTACTATACCATTTATTTCTTCAATAAGTTAAACTTTCTTTTATAAAAATGTATACTATAGACATATTAACTTTAATCAGTCTTTAAAACTTAATAGTTATATCACAGACCTAACAGTTTGACTATAACTATATAAGGACACAATCTGGTATGAAGTTCAAGATAAACTTTAGCTCTTTCTCCAATTCAACTCTTTTCTTTTGTAAATTTTCATCAGTGCTATCAAACTGATGTGTCATTTTTGTTAAACAATGGTGTGTTTCAGTGAAACACTTTTGCACTCTTAAGAGTTTTGAAGGACAATCTTCCAATAAACGTTTTAAACTAATATGATCATGAGAAATTTTTAAAAAGTTTAATCTGTCCTTAATTATGTGCCTTAAAAGATAGATAAACCTTGCTAACTCTGCTAAAGCATAATCTGATAGTGTTGATCTTTCTGTATTTTCACAAGTATCCAACACTGTACTCTGAAACATAAAAAATGAATGAAAATAATGGAAATGAATACAAACACAATTTTCATTTTTTAGTTTTATCACCATCCACGTATGAAATACATGACTTCTTCTTGTCCACTTCATATGTGTGTCCAACATTGATGCTGTTTTTTCCATTTCTTTTAATTTTTCATGAATATTACTTCCTATTACTTGTTTGTCATCTCTACTGGTAGCTATTTTCTTTATTAAAGCCATTTCAGAGACACTTAAGTGTGGTAATCCACTAGCAGTGATGCTGGCAGCATGAACTTTAGTCATTAGTTTTACTTTTTCACAGTATAGCTCTGAAATAGCTTTTATGTTGCCACTTAGCTTGTTTGTCTTTTGCAATAAACTGTGAATTTGATTTTGTATTGATATTAGTTCGGCATCTTCAGATTCTGTTGGCTGTGAAATTAAGTAAAATATATCAAACATATCGTAAAGAATAATACAAAATTTTAAATACAGCACATACCAAATCAGCATTTACTTTAGAAAATTCTCTACCCAGTGAACTATTTAATAATTTTAATCTTACAATATTCTTCAGAACATCATACTTTGTAATAATCCATGCCAATGCAAGTAACAATGATTTACTGTTGGAATTCTTTGGTGTATTCGAAGTACTGTATATATCCACTAGAGGGTATTGTAAATATGACAAACGTAATTTAGTTCTTATACATTTATCTGCAAATAATTGATCATTTATATTTATTCATCAAAAAATGCATCAAAAAATTATTTATTTTTCGTGGACTTAAGGTGGCCATTTAAACTTACCAAATTCGGCAAATGAAATTCTGTCGTTGATTTGCGATAAAGCGAAATGTGTAAGTTTGTCCAAAGTAGTCCAAAATGCGTCAATCTACGATTGTTTTTTAATAATAGAAAATTTAACGAAAAAATATCTTAACCTCAAAGCGAGATTACACTCTAACGCAAATACTTACGACGGCGTCCGAATCGTTGTCATATTTCGCCAGTCGGAAATGCTCTGGATTCAACGTACTGTCCACAGTGTCATTTAAATATTTACAAAGAAGAGTAATAACTTCTTTGATGTCAAGCATAATTTTTTTATCGCGTAAACAGTTGCAACCGCAATTTTAAATCAAATATCAAATCTCTTTAAAAATGCCGGAAAACCAGATGTTGCGCGACAGTCTCGCCGTCTGGTGTCAAGACCGCGCATCTTAAAACACACAGTGCGCCAACTGTTTGAATAATCGTAATGGAAAGCAAATTGAAGTCTGATGCGTCTCTCTTTATTGCATAAATTAATTCGCGATACAGAAGTCATCGGTCACATGAGATAAGCATTCATTTCCTTACGAAAATAGAAAATATTTATAAGAATAATGTTTCGATAAGTATTTACTTATTGAGGTATGACTTGGCGAGATACTACAAAATTGAGATTATAGCATGCTTATGTAGTTAGTAATGATACTTGCAACAATATAAAATGCACAACGTTTTTCTGGTAGCCTCGGCGAGTATTAGTATAAACATTTATCACGAGAATATCATTGTTACAGACAATAGAAAGTACAACGTTTCATTTACGCAGGGCAATGTGTATAGATAATATGGAGCAGCGGTGAATTTCAAGTGACGCCACCGCCATTGTTACTAGCGAATATAATCTCCGAGGTCTCAACCACGCCAAAAGACGATATGAAGACGTTGAGGATGGTCACCAGGAAAATCGCAATGACCGTCCAATTGTTGGCTCTGTTAGCTTTGCACATCTGGTCGTTGTCCTTGACGTTGTAGCGGCTGTTCCAAATCAGTCCGATACCGACGACCACCTGGAGAAAGAGGCTCAAGCCGATCATGGCCAGCGACGGGTAGTAATAGGGATGGCGTCCGCTGCTTTGGAGCACGTAACGGAATTGATTGGCGTTCGCCGATATGAGCGCCAAGTCCATCATACCCTGGGCTATCGTCTTCTTCTGCTGGTAGACGTTCACGTCGGGCGTCGGCTGGCTGCCGTTGCCGCCGGCGAAGCTCGGGAACACCGGCGTTTCGGTGGCTGGCCTCTGACGCGGCGACGCCGGTCCCTGCGAACACAACCGACGCCTTATCGTTCGCCCACAGCCGGATGCGGAGATATTTGTCACTCAGCTGCCGAGAACGAGCTTCTTGCAAAATAATCGATCGCCGATCTTCAGCGCGCTCGATTTACCCTCCTAATCTCTGGCCCTAGTGACCTTGATCATCGGACAGGCGTTAATCATGAACGGTCTTTCGATTAAAAGCCAACACTTAGTGCAGCTCAAGCACGAGCGACTTGGTAAACAACAAGCGTACATTTACGATTAACTTAACCTAGTGATGAACTAAAAGATAAATGTGCGCCAATTGTCAAGTTTGAAATTGCAAACCTGTCTGCGAATGAAACAGTTGAGCATTCTGCAGTTTTTCGAGAGCTCCATATTCGTCGCAATTAATTATACAAAACCGCGATGACGGCGCATTCCAACGCGATGACCGGAGAACTTTGAATCAATTCCCGTGACTCTACAACTATCGAACCGTGCGACCGACGAGCGAATGACACTTTGCGAAGAAAAGAAAAGAAAACGGAGAATAGATAGACTGTACTAACAAAAGTAATCACCGTGGGCTTCTCGTCGTCCGAATCGGTGATCAACCCGTCATCGACACCCGGGTAATGCTCTCTGTGTCGGTGATTGTGGCGATGCGCTTCGGGATCAAACACCTCAACGTCTGTGTTGATGTTGTCGGTATCCAAGTGACGGTCTTTCTCAAGGGTAGTGCTCGTCGATTCCGCGACGATCGATGGCGAGACTCGGCCGTCCATGCGCTCGGACGACAATTCGTCGTCGTCGTCGACGTCGTCTGCGTCGTCATTGTTACCGTTCGCAATTCCATTCAGATCGTCCATGTAGAGCACCACATCTTCTTCGTTGGCTTTCTCGATGGACACCTTCGCTGTCGTCATCGTCGTCATCGTTTCCTTTCCCGTTTCGCTCATGTTTCCTTCGCGAGATTAACAACCTCGTGGACCATTCGTTGGCCATACGAAAGAAAGCGAGAATCGATCACGCGCGATGAATCACTTTTCGACACTGCTGCGCTTTTTGTACTTCGCCGTGGAAATAAAAAAGATAAAAAGAAAAATTAAATAAGTCGGGCAAACGCTACAACCTCGTTGTTCCGCTCGAGTGCTACCCTTCGCGCGTGAAAAGAATTCCGCGATGCGCGTACGCAGACAGGCGGCGGCGGCGACTATAGTCGATCGAGCACCGACTCTGCTACTTTTGTTCGCTGCCCCCGTGCGAACCTCACTCTTTCGCGAGTTTCGGCTTGGGCCTTGGGCCTCTGGTGCCTTTTTGAGTCCCCCGCGACGAATGATTCGCTTTTTGCCAGGGGGTTTTCCGAAACGCGCCAAAGTCGCGAGTACGATTTCGTACGAAAGAGGGCAGAAGACCGTAAAGGAACAGAGAGCGCAGCTGGCGAGCCGAGCGCGGGGCAAGTTTGTCCGAGACTGTTTGAAAGTGCGTCGATTAGCCGCTTGCCTCCGCGCGGACTTACTCATGGTACTCGCGTGTTTGTGTGCGCGATGCCAACAGACGGAATCTCGCCAAGGCCGCGGGAAGGAGAACGCGCCGCGTCCGATGATGAGACGCGAGCGAACGTGGGCGCGATATGCATCTGCGTGCAGCTTTCGTTCGTCTACGGTGCGCAACTGGTCGAATGGCTTTGTTTCTGGAATGGATTTCGCCCGAGAAAGGGAAGAGCGCGCGCGGGCTACGAGTCTAGCGGCGTTATTTATCGTCGCACTCGGCTGACGCTCACTCGAGCGTCACTACTCGCGAGTCGGCAATTTCGCGCAGCATCGCGCCAAGGCTTCTCGCCGGCGAAGCCGTGACGGCCGAAAGGGTACGCGAAGAAAAGGCGAGCGCTTGACTCACAAAGGAGCGCGCGTTACTATTTGCTTAATTATCGCAGCGGTTGCGCGGGCTCGTTACATCTTTGTTTCCGCTGCCTTTGTCGCGCACGGCGAATCAGCGAATTTCATCGGCGCTCGTCGGGACAAAGGTACGGAGGAAAGGCGCGCTCGCCGATCGGTCGCGTCGGTCGCGTCGGTCGCGGCGACGTCGCCAATTTCGCTATCCGTACCGAGCTGAGCCTCTCGTCTCGCGTGTCTCTCTCTCTCTCTCTCTCTCTCTCTCTCTCTCTCTCTCTCTCTCTCTCTCTCTCTCTCTCTCTGGCGTGCGCGCGGCAACGAAGCCGCGAATGACGTAATATCGCCTGCTCGCGCGCGCGCAAGCTCCGCCGAGTATTGAACTGTTCGCCTGGTCGTCAAGTAAACAGCGGAAGCTCGGCGAGCTTGCACCGCGGCTCGCAGTGTCGCGGCGTCGTCGGCTTCCTCTCCTCGGTCGTGCCGAGCAGCGACTCGGCGGCGGCGATTAGCCGGCGACAATCTCGGCCGGCACGCAAGCGGCGCGTGCGTTCGAGCTGCCACGATAAGACGCGCCCGAGCGAAAACAGCATGGGAGAGCGCGGACGCGTGGAAGCCGGCCGCGGTGGCGAGCACGGGCCGATAACGGCTCCTCCGCGGTCGCAGCCGCGTTATCTCGCGAGCGCCCGTGCTCGATAATGCCGCGGAAGTGTTGCGCGCACTGCCCGGGAAGCGCGAGCCGCGGCGGCGAGCCGATACGCGAGCACGCGTGCGCGCTGCCCGAGCGCGTCGCTGGCGCCGAGCCCGTGCCGCGCTCGCGACCGCGCGGCCACCGCTGCAAGGGCCCGAGGTCCGCGAGCAGCGACCGTCGCGGAGATGAGCGACACCGGCAGCAGCAACAGCAGCAACAGCAGCAGCACCAGCAGCAGCAGCAGCAGCAGCAGCACCAGCAGCAGCACCGGCGTCGGCGGCAGCCGTCGAGCTCGTGTCGCCAGAGATTCGCCGTTGCCAGAAAGCTGCACGCGGAGAACCTGCAGCATCAGGACTTGCCGGACAGAGTCGACGACGCGATCTTCGTCCAGGACAAGAGAGCCGAGCAGCCGTGCACGAGCGAGGCCGTGGAGAGGTGATTCGCGAACGAGGACGACCGAGCTGCTGTGTTGCCGAGCGCCTTTGTTCTTGTTTCTTTGCCGCGGCGCAGATAGAGTCGCTCTCGGCCGGGAGGCACGACGATAACGCTTAATTGAATGACGCTTATCGTCGCCTCGCGCGATCATTTTTCTCCCGAGCCGATAAAGTGTCGTTGGCATGCGAGCGATTTGGCGCCTATCGCGTCGGCGCGCGCAGCTCGCCTGCCGAAAATAGCCTGACCGCTCTCGCGTGTTGCGACGTAGGTGCCCATCAATCGTCCCGGGGCGACTGCACGAGCAGCGCGGCCCGGCGCTGGGCTGCAAGAAGCCGGCGACGTACATGGACTTGGCGATCTGCTGGGAGACGCCGGTCGACGCGTCGTACGAGCCACGCCGCGCCGCGCACGTCGACGGCTCGGACGGCGGCCCGGCGCCGGCGATATTCGCGCTGGTCTCGCACGAGGACTCGCGGCTGGACGTGAGGGCCGGCCGCATACCCGGCCGCCGGGAGGACGAGCAGGTAACCACCCCCTTGGACGCTGAGCTTTGATCTGTTGGCCGAGGAGCAGGAGCGAGTGACGGTGTCGCACGACCGAGCTGCAGGACGACGGCGAGGAGCTCTGCGGGCGGCTCGACTCGGCGGTGCGCCTCGGCGCGCGCTCGGCGTCCTGCCCGCGGAGGAGCGGCCGCGCCGGCGTCGCCAGGGGGCACGACGGGCTGCCGGCCGACAGGGGCCGCGTGCCGAGGCCGCGCACGCCCTACGCCAGGAGGTCGTTCTGCATCGACACGCTCGCGCCGCCCTTCAGCGTCGTTCGCGGCTGCAGGGACGCCGACTATCCGGAGCACTGGAGGCTCACCTCCATCTATCAGCAGTCTTACAGGAACCCGAGCAAGCTGCGCGAGGGTAGGACGATCTTGAGCTACGCTAGGCGTGGACGCTGAAATTCCTCGTTGTCCGCACGCCTACTACTGTTTCCTACTCGGATCTTCGCTCTTTCACGGACCTCTACGGACCTCTACGTTCTTGCAATACTCGTTAGTCGATTATTCACAATAAATTGGCGTAGACAAACCAACGACCAATACAGTCACTCGTCCCTCCTTTTACCCGTGATGTTGCTAATGTTGATGTAATGCGGGCGCGGGTCTTCCAGCCTGAAAATCTCGTCGAGGAGCAAGGTCTTCTCGAGGCGCTCGAGCGCCACCCGCTGCAGTCGGGCGAGGAGACTCGGGTAGGGCGCTATCACTTGCTGGAAGGCTTCCCTCGGCACGATCATTATCTCGCACGTCTCGATGGCCACGACGCTGGCGACGCGGTGCTCGTTCTCCATCACCAGGGCTATCTCGCCAAAGTAGGAGCCGTCCTCCAGGTGACAGACCTGCTCGCCTCGGTAGCGGGGCTCTCGCACTGGCGACGGGATCGAGACGCGAAGGCTCGGCGCCTGGCCTACCTCTTTGCCCAAGGAGGTGTAGACGGCAACGGTGCCGCTGCCGAGGAAGTACATCGCCTCGCCGGGCGTCCCGGCTTTGACTATCGTGTCGCCGGCCAGGTAGATCTGGGACCTGATGTAGTTGACGAGCTTGACGACGGCCGCCCGCGGCAGGCAGCTCAGCAGATCGACCGTGTCCAGCAGTTGCACGTAGGTGTGCAAGATCAGCTCCTGGCGGGCCGCGGCGGGGGAGAGGAAACGAGGCTCAGTGGCAGTGGCGAGCGGCGCTGCAAGTGGCGCTCGGGGGACGCACCTCGCGCAGCGGCTCGGACACCTGAGCGAGTATGCGCTTGTCCCCGTTGAAGTTCCTGTTGTAGCAGTAGTCGCAGTAGACGAGCAGCCGCTCGCGCGTGTCACGCGGCAGCTCCTTGAACTGCATGTACTCGTGCAGCTGCTGCAGCAGCTTGGTGCGCTCCTTGTTCGACGAGTGGAGGCTCGCCATCAACTGCAGGAACTGGGCTGCAAGGGCGCGCGGCGCTCTTAGCCGTTGTAGTCGCGGCGACGGGGCACGCACGCACGCACCGAGCAAGTAGATGAATCCGACTTTGCCGAGGACCGCGAGCGCCAGGTTCATCGCCATGTCCTCGGTGCTGCTCACGTCGAGGTAGTGCGCCGAGCTCACCAGCGAGGTCGTGGCGCGGTTCAGGCACAGGATGTACTTCTTCAGTCGCGTGTCGCGTTCCCTCATGCTCGCGCTCAGTATCCAGGACTGCCTGCGCATTCGTCGGCGCGTTCGTTGGCGCGTGAGAGAGCCGCGATGACGCGCCGGCAAAATTCGACTCGCGGACTCACGCGCTGGTGCTGCCGAACCTGCCGACGAGCATCGGCACGTAGTAGACCAGGCACGCCGACCAGTGCACGCTGATGGCCACTACGAGGCTCAGCTCGAGGATCTTGACCCGGTGGAACGTCAGGTGGTACGACTGCGCGGAGAGCCGGAGAGCTGCGTGAGCGTGCGAGCAGGGGGCGCCGGCTCCGGACGTCGGCTCGCCTCACCTTTTGCAAGTGGTGTACGTAGTGCAGGAGGTTGCGCATCCGAAAGACCTTCATGAGATTGAAGGCCGAGCAATACCAGTTGACGTGGTGGCGACCACGGCCGTGAGCCAGAAAGTCGAACAGCTCGACAGGCAGCGCCGACAGTAGGTCCAGTAAGAAGCTGCCCTTGAAGTATTTCCTGGACAACGGGCCCAATCATCGACGAGGTCTCCTCGAGGGCCAAGCGCCGATCGATCAGAGAGCTTCTCACCTGAGCACGACTCGTGGGTCCAGCGTGACGCTCTTGGTGCGAACGTCGTAGTAGCCCGTGAAGAAGGCCAGGCACACGTCGAACAGCAGCACGAAGTCGATGAGCAGGATGTAGGGCAAGCTTTCCATCTCCTCGTCGAAGAAGAAAGTATTGAGATAGGGCGTCATCAGTAGAGCGGCTAACGTGAACAGCATCATGGTCACGTCCCAAAAGTTTCTAGAAAGAATTTCGGGATTCGAGGAATCCTCGGGGCTGTCCCGGTTCGACGGAGCTCGCGCCGCGCGCCCTACCTCAGAGAGCTGAAGGGGTGAATCATGCGAGGGAAGTTTTGCAAGTGGTTGCTGATCTCGTACTTGACGGCGCTCGTGCTCTTCAAGCACGTCTGAGCGTAGTATTGAGTTGGCGACAAGATGCGCTTCCGCGTGAAGTAACGGTTCAGTCGCGAACACAGGTCACCACTTTTCATGTAGCTCTCCACTATATCCTCTTCGGGAGGCTGCCTGCAGACGTGCCTTATCACTGGCTCCTGTCGGTCGCGCAAGTGCTTTCGTCCAATCGACGAATCAAATTATTGCGGTAACAATGGAAAATTATCGACCTTCTGTTCGCTCGCCTCCAGACCTGGTATCAAACTCATCAGCTCCATTATCGATCGATTTTTATTTTACGAGCAATGCTCAACGACTATTTATGATTAATCAAGCGATCGAGACGGATCTGGAGCTTGTTTAAATGTTCGCGCCAAGATCCTTGCGCCAAGTCTGGCCTATAGTCAGCGAGAGTATACGATGGCGAGCGCGAGACGTGTTCTGTCTGCTGGAACTGGAACTGGAACTGGAAAGGTTATGTTTAGGTTACTAGCTGTTGTTTCGCTGCGCTGCACTGCTGGCGTGGGAAGTTGCTCCAAATACGGTATGGACCGCTAAGGCTTATCTCCGTTCGTATGTGGGAGGCTTATGGAAGCTGACATCAGATAAAATTCGCTGGGAGTTCGTAATATGTTCCGATAAAACAACTTCTGTAATAAGTCCAGTACTTTTCCGTGGCTACTTCGAACTGCACGAAACTTTTGGCAAAAATGTGAGTACACTCAGGTTTTTTTTGTGTCGCTGTTTATTTTTTTTTTTTTATAGTATCGTTTTTGACAGAATGATTGAGAGTGTTATGTTTGTACAATTCAACGTTAGTTTTATATTGTTTTTTTTGTATTATACTAACAGCAGTTGTTAATCTAGAATCAGCTGTTAAAACACTAAGTGTAGCTGTCATATTTGTGTTCTTTCAGGCGTAGCACAATTATCTTTCTAACCTTTTTGATATTCCTCTCCTTGTCGTGGGCTGACGATTATTATAAACTTTTGGGAGTGGATAGAACAGCTGATCAACGAGATATAAGAAAAGCATTTAAGAAACTGGCAATTACAGAACATCCAGATAAGAAAACTGTGAGTAACTGGATTTGAATTTGAACTTTGTAAATAAGAGAATTAATGAATAATTGACTTTTTAGGATGACCCAGATGCTCATGCCAAATTTATCAAGTTGACAACAGCTTATGAGGTATTGAAAGATCCTGATCTGAGGAAAAAGTATGATTTATATGGAGAGGAAGGACTTGATGAATCAAAGAGGCGTAGCAATTATCACTCCTATTCATATTATCAGACTAATTTTGGAATCTACGATGATGATCCTCAGATAGTCACATTAAATAGAAATGATTACTGTAAGATAGCTTATCAAACTTCAAACTTTCATTTTTATTTCTCATGTGATTCAATTGATTGGTAATTTTAGTTGACAGTGTCACTGAGTCTGAAAAAATGTGGTTTGTCAATTTTTACTCACCACAGTGTAGTCACTGCCATCATTTAGCTCCAGTGTGGAGAAAAGTTGCCAAAGATCTTGAAGGTGTTATTCGAGTTGGTGCAGTAAATTGTGAGGATGATTGGCATTTGTGTAGTCAAGTTGGAATTCAATCATATCCTACTTTATTATACTATCAACCTGTGAGACTTTTTTTAATTTGTTTAGAATTTAGAATATTAATTAATAAAATTTATTGACTGATACATATTGTTTTGCAGAATTCCAAACAAGGAATGAAATATAACAATGATAAATCCTATGATGCTATAATGAAGTTTGTCTTGGATAGAATTGATGCAGATATTCATGAAATAAGCAAATCAATTTGGAACTCCTTGATTAAAGGTAAAATTTCAAATGACAAACCGACGTTAATTTTTGTATGTGGCCAAAATCGTTATTGTTTTACTAATGAAGAGAGACTGAGGATTGCTGCAATATTTGTATGTTATATGATTCTTCAAATCATTGTTATTTTATATTCTATAGCATTTCAGTGTGTATAAAAAAAACTGATTTTTATTTCAGGATAAAATGGTAGATGTCAACGTTTTTGAATGTAAAAAAGATTGTGGTAATATACTTTCTGACACAACGGGAGTAGTATATTTGCCACTAAATAATGACCCGAATTTCAAACCAGTATTGTTTGATGATATTTTGGAAGTGGAAGACGTAGTTAAAAAAGTGTTAGAGCAATTGCCTGAACCTCAAGATATTAATGATGATGATTTTGAGGTAATTTCTAAAACACTTTTGCATAATTTCATTTATACTTCGGATATTGAGTGTTGTTTTTTTAATTTTAGGATATTTTGGATAATTTAAAAACAAAATCGTCAGACGGATGGCTGTTATGTTTTTACGTTGGTCATGCTACTGAATTTGATGTTTTGTTGAAGCAGTTACCAACTATGTTAAAAGACGTTAATTTAGGTAAGAATGGCAAAGTTATGTGACGCACCATCATCAACCATTTTCATTGAATTTTCCTTTATATTTCAGCTAAAATTAATTGTGGAAGATACACGACCTTATGCAAAAGTTTGAATATTAATCATTATCCAACTTGGGGAGTTTTGAAACCTGGAGGGGCGTTCGAAATAAGTCATGGAAAAAATACAATGAATGATGTTGCCAATTTTGCCAAAAACAGTTTAAAAGCTCAAAATGTATGGGCTTTGTCTGCTAGACAAATACACGACATTCTTGGCAAACATACTGGTATGCACTATGATTTCATTTCGTTATGTGAAATTATAAACAAGATTTTCAATAAAATTTAAAAATATGCAGGCGAAGTTTGGTTCTTGGATTGGTATGCTCCATGGTGTCCACCTTGTATGAAATTCCTCCCAGAAGTTCGGAAAGCATCTTTAGAATTTGACTCATCAGTGCTGCACTTTGGCACCATTGATTGTACAGCCCATGTTGAAATTTGTAGGCAATACAACATCCGATCGTATCCCACTGCGATGCTTGTCAATGGAAGTAGCACCATTCATTATGCAACTCAAAAAACAGCAGCGCACATCGTTGATTTCATCAATGAAGCCATGAATCCAACGGGTAAGCAAAATAATTTACGCTGCAAAGCCACTGACTCAAATGAGATCAATTGATTCGAATTATTTGCAGTTTTCCACTTAACTTCCGAAAACTTCCACAAGAAATTAGGGAAAAAAAGAGCCAAGTATCTATGGGTCGTAGATTACTTTGTTCCATGGTGCGGTCCGTGTCAGCAATTAGCTCCGGAATGGACTGCCGTTGCAAAAGCATTGAAACCCTTGTCTTCGTTCGTTACAATTGCCAGTGTGGACTGTCAAGCGGAACAATCGATATGCCAGTCGCAAGCCGTTCGCAGTTATCCAACTATTAGGCTGTTTCCAATCGGTAGCGAAGGATTCAATTCGGTGGCGTAAGTAACAATTTTATCTATTAATTATTACAAAATAATTGAAAAGAATTGTTAATGAAACAGTTTTTTTTATTTCTAGAATGTACAATGGTCAACGCGACGCTAATTCTTTATTGAGATGGATCGTGCAATTTTTACCAGTGCAAGTAGAAGAATTGAATGACAAAAATTTAGAGAAGGAAGTACTCAAGACTGATGACGTGGTATTAGTAGACTATTTCGCTCCATGGTGTGGACATTGTGTAGCTTTGGAACCTCATTATGCGATAGCTGCACAGGTGAATGATAAACGATTACTTTCACGACAAATGATAGGCGAATAGAAAATTAACGACATTAATTTGAAAATTAACTGTTTCATTGTAGTTACTCAAACGAAAAGTTCGATTGGCAAGGATTAATTGTGACTACTACCAATACTGGTGCGGTCAGGCTGGAATAAGATCTTATCCTACAATGAAACTCTATACAACAAAGAAAACGCGTTATAGTCTAGCGGGTGGAATGAGAATACAAGGCTCAACATCCGAAGAAATAAAAAACGAGGTGCTAAAGTTACTGCCAAAAGTGAGAGACGAACTCTAAAGCTAACTTAGGTGCCTTAAGCGAGTATCAACGCAACGGAATTGTCGGCCAAACTAGATGAATTTACGTACGAGATAAGTGTGTGACAGTTGTATCTGCATATCTTACTCGGAATGGAAAGTTTCGCATGTAGCGTGCACGTCTCTATCGGTGTTTTTACTGGAATTGTAGTTAATCAGTACTACTAAAATTCACTTAGGAGAGATGTTTCAATTGATCAAATTACCGATCAACGATTAATCAATTTTAAGATTTATTTCTAAGACTATGTTACATTCCTTTGGTATTGGTTCTAAAGTTGTTAAAATCGAATCCCATCTCCAGTGATATTAATGCAATGATTTTCTTTTTACTATTTCTGTTATTTTCTATCGGTTATGAGTTTAACTGAACCAACGCCAAAATAAATGTCTTACTTCCAAACGAAAATATGAACAAGAGAGCGGCTCTAATTTCACCCACTTCCTTTCAGCAGACGCGACGATTGCACGAGTCGCCGTGACGTCAGGGCTTAGCTCGCGTTCTACAAAGGGAAATTGCAGAGCGAGCTTACGTATTGCAACGCGAGCAGTCGGCCAAAGAGTCACGCGTGGAAATCGAGAGCGGCCCGTCCGTGTGCACACACCCGATAATTGCCTCTTTCGTCAAGCTAATTGGCTTTTCTTTCGTGCGTGCACATATTTTCGTTGTGTCATAATTACGAGAAGGTTTTTTTTTTTAGATTTTCGAATATTGGTAACGTTACTTTATGGAGTTTCACGGCAGGATTGCGCGTTGTTGAAAAATGATGATGACAGTGACAGATTGACACTACGTCGAACGACTGTAAGATTTCGAAAAAGGAAGTACAGAAAGTACACTTGCAACGATTGTTGGAGATACGACGGCTTTATATAGCATCTTCAACTCGATATCGTGTCAGTTTTACGTTCATTAATTATGCGCAACTCAGCAGCTTTTGAAAATTCGAAAGGAGAGATGACAATCACGATCGTGACTAACGCGACATGAGTCAGCTACGCCAGTGCGACGCACTGCCGATTGCTAGTAGCAATAGCGTCGACGTAAGTTTGTGTTACATTTAGACTTCTGCATCTAGAAATTCACAGGTAGACAGAAAAAGACACTTAGCCTTGTTGCCTGGTCTAATTATCGGTGATCAAACGGTATTCCAGCTACCCAAGGAGTTGCGCAAAGACAATACTTAACGACAAACGTGCCAACGCGAAGACGCCTTCGTTTAGGCGCTGGGGTGAGGAAGAGAGAGAGAGAGAGAGAGAGAGAGAGAGTTTGAAAGACAATGCTTGCGGCCAAAAAGCGAGCTCTGAATTTTGGGAGCAGATGAATTCAGGAACGGAGGTGCAGTTTTTTATCCCGTAGCGTCCGCTGCTGGCGTCGCGAGCAAACTAGAGGAGCAGCCGCTGAGCTTGCTGCGGTTACATTCTGTTCGGCATAGCTGCCTCGTGCGCTGCAGTGTTTACCTGTGTTTTCGGGCACAATGATCCTACCCGCGAACGACTTCGGAAAAGCATTTGCTAGCGTCGTTTCGAATCAAAGGCGAAGTTTATTAATCGTCTTACACGGTCGGTCGTTGATAGTGGCGGTGAACACTCCATTGGTAAATGCCGATGAAACGCCGAAGCGGATTTCCGCTGTGTAAGCCCGTTATATTCCGAAAACTACGCGATGTAGCTGGAAAACACGTGCGTACGAGTGAAGAAAAACAAAGGAGGAGGAGAAACGAGTATCGCGCGCTCGGCAGCAGTGGCTTCGGCCGCCTGTTGCGCTCCCTCGTTCCTTTCTCTGCCGTCTCCTTCTTTCCTCCTCCACCTCCTTAAGGCAGCGACGCGCGGCACACCTGGGGAGACTATACGCCGCTACGGCTTATTGAGCCTCAACGCCATTTTGCCAGCGCGCACGGCATCGTTCAGTCGCTGCAGCCGCGCTGCTCCGAAAATTGTGTGCCTCCGTCGCGGAAATAGATCGGTCCGGGTCGGGGGGGAGACGAAAGAAGAAGCCTCGTTGGTGTCTCGCAGTGGCGAGATGAACACTGGCTGACTCGCACGCGAACGATGGACGGACGGCAGTAGGCCTCCTCGGTATCGACGCATTCCAACAGGTGGGTAAGTAAGGTGGGCCAAGTGCAATCTGCCGTTTTCGTCGCGAGAGTGGACGGAAGCGGCCAGGTGCGCGGCAACCCCGAGGAAAGGCAAAACGCCCGTACGCTCGGGCGAAAGTTGTCCAGGCGATAACGTCGCGAGTTCGATCCTTTTATCGGGCGGCGTGACCATTTCGTAATGGACGTTGGCGCGCTCGACATGCGCTCATCGTTGTCAACGAATCGCTGCTTCTGTGCGCGCAGGAAACAGGCGAGCAGGCTCCAAAGAGAGGACGAGGGACGAGAAAATGGGCTCGAAAGTGGAGTACGTGGAGTCGTCGCACATGTACGCGACCAACTACATCCGCAACAGCAAGGCGATCGGGGTTTTATGGGCGATCTTCACCATCTGCTACGCGATCATCGGCGTGGTCGCATTCATCACGCCCGAGTGGTTGGGCGACCTCGAGCACGAGAACCCCGGCAGATTTGGCCTCTGGATGAGGTGCAGCTTCGGTGGCACCGGTAAAGTGTATTTCCAAAATAAACCGACCAGAGAGAAACGAGGGCGTTCAACTTTTCTCTTGTTTTCCGCGGGGACAGCATTCCAAATAGACGCGTGTGCGCGTTGCACTTTGTATCTGCGTCTGTAAGAGGCTCCTTATTTAATTTGCGATTTATATCGCCAATGTTTGAGACTTTAGTCGCATACATGTTTCATACATTTTTTTACGCGCGACTGTCTCCTCGCGCGGATCGAGTTTACGCGTCGTCGAGCGTCGAGTGCTTCGACTTCGATTCCGCGCTACTTTTTAGAAACGCAAAAGAATAAAGAAAACTGACTTTTCGGCAAGCGGTACGAAAATGACAAATGGGCTTTCGACGTGGAAGCATTCGGACACTTAACTTGCCGCATAATTGCATTGTCCGAGCGCGGCGCGCTTTTACTCTCGTTACGAAAGCAAGCCGGCGCTGGCGCTGGAATGGTCGTCATTTGGAAATTTCGCCGGGAAAAGAAATGCGTCTATCGTTTGAGATGCATTAGAAAGTTGCACGCGCCTCACGCGAAACTTTGCATCGGCAGGTGAACTGGTCGAGGAGTGCGTGGGTCGCTTGGACGAGCTGTCGTCGATCGCCAGCGTGCCGTTCAGAGCGAGCACGATCCTGGTGGGCATCGCCGTGATCATCGCTCTCGCGTCGATTCTCACCATGACGCTGTTCTTCTTCTGCCAGAGCACGACCGTCTTCTATGTCTGCGGATGGATGCAGGTGGTTTCCGGTAGGTGAAAAAGCCAGCTGTCTCGGCGGCCGAGTCGACGCCACGCGAGGAAAGAGCTGGATGAGCGCGTTGCGCGACAGCGCGACCAAATGACAAGCCGATTATAGTCATTTTTCCGACGAGTTGCGCGGCAGCGTTTTCTTCTCTGTCGGCCACTCGATTGCTCAACTCGCAACTTACGCCGGCAATTTTATAACCGCCTAATGAATTGTCGGAGACGAGCAATTATGTTTTACTGCGCGCGGCTGGAATTTTGCAAAACGCGGCGCTCGGCTTTGGCGAGCACGACGATGCTCTCGGCGCCGAGGGAACGTCGCCGCGCGCGATCCGTGGTCGTTCGCCGGAGCAAGCATCGCTGCAGCGGGCCGATGTAAATGGTTCTCCGCGCGTCGCCCGAATCGTCGGTCCGTGATCGACGATTGCCGGCAGCGCGACGGCAGAGTTCCGGCGGGGGGCGCCGGCGCGGGCATCGCCGCTCGCGCGAGGAGACGCGAGACGGCGGTGCGATTAACGGCTGATTTCCCGTTGCGGCTGCGATCCACGGACGCGCGTCGCGCGCCCGATCGCGCGCCAATTTTTCGCGCGTGCGATTTTCGGGGCGCGCACGGTCCTCGGGATCGAGGCCGTGAGAACGAGGATGACGGTGGCGGGCGAGTTTTCGCGCTCGACGAGCGCACGGGAGAGACGGGCGCGCATCTCCGCCGGCGCTCCTCGGCGAGCAATACGGAATGAACCGTTACCCGCGGGCCGCGTCGTCGTCGCTTCGCGGTAGGTTGCCTTCCTTCGTTCCGCGCCGAGGCGACGCCTCGTTATTGCCGTGAATCAATCGGCCATCCTCGCTCTGCGTGCTTTCCAGTCTCGCGGACCATTCCAAATTCATGGACGTGCGCGGCTCGCGGACAAAATACATCTCGCGCTCTGATTCGCCGAACGTCTAGTTTGCATCGGAGAACGGGCGAGAGTGAAAGTTGGGCGCGCGCGCGCGCGCGCATTGTTCCGAATGGGGAGCAGCGATCGGCGTTCGCATGGGAAAATCGGTGGGAGAGCCAGCCTCTCCCGGCGGTATGTGGGATCGCCGCCGAGTCGGCCGTCCGTCGGCGACTAATTGGACGAAATTCGACAGGGGGCGCCGTTTCGGAAAACGACGCGGGCCTCTGGCTCGAGGAACGGACGGCGCGCCGGCTCCCGGCTCCCGGCTCCCGGCGGTAATACAGTTAGAAAAGTATCGGCGCTTTATCTAACCGGTACCTTTCACTGGCGACCTCGCCTACATACCTTTGGCACGCGCGCGTACGCGTGCGCCGACAGACGGCCGGCTCTCTCATCTCTTCTCTCTGCCTCTCTCTTTTCCAGCTGTCTGCATGGGAGTCGGCGTGTGCGTCTACCCGCTCGGATGGGACTCGCCTCTGGTGCGCGCCATCTGCGGAGCTGCTGCCACGAGGTAACGATTGAATTCGCGCTCGCGCTCTTATTAATTTATCGCGTCGAGAGCCCCGTATTAATTATAGCGCTGCGCCAGCTGGAGAAAAGTAGCGTGCCGCGTCAACAACCTTTGCTAGATTTAATGCTCGGGACATGAATTTAGTAATTGGTTTTCTTTGGGTTTTAACTTTCTTGAGCGATCGACCAAATAATTCTTGCGATTTATTAGCTTTCTACATCGACAACTTTATGCAGTCAGCGCGCAGTGTATACATATATACAAGAAAGTGATCTCCGCTTTATTACGACGATAATTCATAATCGTTACCATTTATAAAATTGGAGCATCTCGCATTGACTTTTTCGTTGGACAATCGAGAAGAAAAAGAGAAAAAGATTTTGCCATTTGCAAGAGCAGGAGCGCGCGACGAAGTGCACCGAGCCGAAATGAAACACATGAAAAAACGAAAGCCGCCAAGCGCGGAAAAAAGCAATAAGCGCGCGCCTCGGCATCGATCAATCTCACTTTCTAAATTTAAGCGATGCAATTGCGCAACAGCTGGAACCGCCGGTGAACTAAATGACACGCGCACGCTCGTTTGGCGCAGGTACAACCCAGGGGCCTGTGCGATCAGGTGGGCAATACCACTGGCGTCGATAGCAGCATTGGACGCGGCAACCTTGGCGGCGCTCGCCTTTATTTTGGCCTCGAGACACGTCAAGCTGCAGCCCGAGCCTTTCAACAACGGCTCGCTCTACAAAGGTAGGCATAAGCTCGAGCGCGCCAGAAGGCCTTGCTTCGTCTCGTCTCGCAGGTCAGCCGTGCCGTTCGTCTCATTTGTCGCGCGATCGAAAACGCTCCGCTGCCGCTCCTCAACTGACACTTCGACGAACGAAAGAGAAAACTGACGTTTCTTTTGCATGCTCTCGGCTTGCTTTCACGGGCAGACGTTTCGGTGAACGACATAGAGAGATAGAGAAAAGTCTTGACGTTGGTTCGTTTCATAATTCGTTTGGCAAGTAACTCGTCTTTTTTCAAATAAACAAAAATTAAGTCAAATCAACTTGCCGTGGAAATTATCACGTCAAACCGTTTCCGACGCGACGATCGAAGTGAAAGGCATGCATATGCGGTAATTAATCACGCTACCGTTTCAATTTAGGTGTGATTCATTTCTCAGTCATGCCAAGCAAACATATCGCTCTTGATAAGACTTTCTTTAATCTAAACGTGACATAACTGCAATTCGACGTGGTCTTTCGTAAATGCAGTCGTAGATTAGCGTTGCCCGATCAAGTAATCGTTACAAGTTATACGGAAAGTGGCTGGCTACCACCGTGACCATCTGTTCGTTCGATGAAAGCGCCAGCGAGACGGAAAAAAGAAAAGTCGAATTCGCGTTGTGACGGGGCGGCAATCGATGTTTGCAGGTGAGGTGAACGCAGCGTACGTGAACGAAGCTCAAAGCGTGGCAGGTTCGAGGAAGTCGCTGTCGCTGAGGCCAGTTCTGCTGGTCGCGCCGCCGGACCAAGACCGTTACAGCGAGCTGTCGCGAGCCAAATCGCACTCTCACCACAGTCTCTTCGCCGCGTCCCAGTCGCATCCAGTCCACGCCATCTCCACCAACACCCTCAACCACTCGCATCACAACTTCCAGCTGTGAACCAGCCAAATAATCTTGTTGACACTGCCTACGCTCGCCCGAGTTTCGGACAGCCTCCGAACACTACCAACGATTCGAGGAGACGTTGCCATACCTTTTAATCTTCCATTGAGATGACATCTGAAACAAAGTATTTGGTGTTAGTATACGGGAAATCGTCGAAGAGCATGGATTTCGTCGATATAAAGCACGTTACTTACGGTCGATTCTGCTGAGCGACGAAAGAGTTTTCTACGATGCAAGATCGAGCTTCAAGTTCTATTTTTTCGTTTTTGTAAGATATTTTATTATGAATAAGTTCTTAAAGTACTCAATTTATGGTATGTGTGCGAAAGTGTTTTTTTTATGAGCAACAAAGTGTGAAATAATTGTTACTTGTTCGCGCGCTTGAGGGACGATTCCGTCAACGTAATTGCTGTTTACACACTTGAAATAATAATCCCAGTTTTTGTACTTCTCATTGCGCAAGCTTTATACATTGCAATATTGTTCCATATCTATAGTTTAATGTTTACTAAACACGCATGTAACATTTTTTTTTAAATTAAACCAATAAAAATCACGATTTTATAGGAGAAAGTCTGCTTTATTTCTTCGAGCTCACATTTCCAGTCGTTTTATCAATAGCAGGGCTCTTCGTTGTCGATCGCAGCTTTTACCGACCGTGGCTATCTGCAATTTGAATGTGCCCCTGACGGTGGACAACCGCGAACGCATCCGAGTAATCTTGCTCCTGCGCTGCAGCTGTTTTTCATTCGATCCAAGCGTTCCTCTCTGATAAATAATAACACTCAAGATCTATCTTTTCTTTTGACTAGTATATATTTAAGATCTTATACAGCATACTTAATAACGAGCATGTTGTTCAACATATACTCAATGGCTCACTCGATGAAATCACTATAACGCTTCTTTTGATTTCGAACGCACGAATAAATACACTCTTGGCTTCAGCCCATATTCTACAGAAGAGAATAACAGCAGGGAGAAAGGAACAAGAGAATACAATAGAATAATGATTATCGTCGAACATGGCCTCGTGCATCGAATCAAATGGCACGTGTTCGTGGCTACAAACGAACGGTTGCGTCACAATGCGGAGATTAACAAACAATTCGTTTTCTGCATCGCGATCTACGTATCACTACTCAACGGCCATTCTACAATAGACAACTAGACACTCAATGATTACGATATTACTGCCTGCAAATCGATGGCTTGTCTAGACGGATATCGGCTAGGTCAGAGAAAAGCAATTCTTTGTCGAATTTTCGAAGCAACGAATCGGAGTAATTGTACAGTCGAGAGAGAGAGAGAGCACAGCTATTTCACAGCATTAAGATCGCGTGTGTATTTTACAATTTTCGAATGCACACTCAATTATACAGCCTATCAAGAGGAAAACGTTGGACTCGTCCGATACTATTAAAATGCCTCGTTCCAGTTGTCCTGCGCTCGGCAATCGACGCATAATCCAAGGCTCGCGCGGTAATAGTGTAATCCAATAAACGTCGAAGCGTCGTAAAAGCGTGTAACGCAATAAGTAATTTTTTTTTTGAGAGAGAGAGAGAGAGAGAGAGAGAGAGAGAGGGCGACGCGCAATCGTCACCTCTTCTTCACCTCTCGTTCTCACGAGTTTCTCTCCGCGGAAGCCTTTTCCCTCTCGCTGTCCGCGTTTATATGGCGCTCGTAAAAGGCGACGCGCGCTCCCGACTAATTTCTCGCTCATTAGTCCTCGTCGCTTTTACACCTGTGGCCAATAAATAAAGGTAGAAAAAAATAAATAGCTATAAATATAGGCTGGTGTAGGATCAAGGGGAGGGTGGGGGTCTAGCGGATGTTCCGCTAGAAAGTTAAGATACAAACGGTAATGTACAGTGTGCCGCGGTGGATCGCAACTCCGGCAGAGCCTAGGTGTGCTTGCCGACGACTATGCCGCAGGGCTGCACGACGCCGGTGTCGAGCAGCAGCCTCGGCCTCTTGGCCTCGTCTTTCCTGAGCAGCTCCTCTATCGAGTAGCCGCCGCGCTTTCGCGGCTGCTGCCCTTGCCGAGCGGAGCCCGACGAGTCGGCGCCCCGGGCGCAGGGATTGTGGCGCACGAACGCGCTCTGCTTGCCGCCCAGCTCGATGCTCGCGGGCGCTCTTTGGTAGGCTTTGCCGCTGCTGCTGTTGTCGGCGCTCGCGTCGTCCAAGTCGCTCTTGTCCAGCGAGTCGTCGCTGCCGATCACGGAGCTCGAGCTGGACTTGAGCCCGTTGCCCAGCTGAGACTGCGACTCTTGGGCCTCGACCAGCCGCTCCGCGTCCAGCAGTCTGCGGCAGAACCCAGTTGGAGTCAGTTTCGAGCGCCGCGTACGCGATAGCAAGCCGTAATACTCGAGCGAGTTACTCACTGCGTGCTGTACTGCAGGTGGAGCGTCTTCATTTGCGCGGACGTCTGATAGAGCGACGAGTATATCGACGAGTTCCAGGCCGTGGGCGTAGCCATCGTAGCGGCGCGCGCCGCGTGCAGTGGCCCCAGCGCGCCGGGGTAAACAAACTGATAGTCCGCCCTCATCAGAGGCTCTGCAATAGAACAGACCAGTCGTGGGATCGTCTGCGATTGTCGCGCACCGTCCGTCGAAAAAGGCACGCGTGCCAGTACCTGCGACGCCCGGTACACCGCCGGCTGTCATCATCTGCTGTTGCTGCTGGTGCTGCTGGTGCTGGTGCTGTTGCTGCTGCTGTTGCTGCTGTTGCTGCTGCTGCTGTGGTTGATAGGCCGACGCGGACGACTCCATGCTCGGGTGTTCGGTCTGATGACCACCACCGCGCAGAATTCGATTGACCGACGAGACCGACGGTAAACTTTGCGGGTCGCACGCGCCTTGGCGCACCAGCTGCTCGCGTATCTCCCAAGCGAACATCGTCGGCTGTTCTTGCTTCATGCGCAGGATTTTCTTCACTACACTCGGCGTCGCTACTTGCTGCGAACAGTAGGCGGCCTTTTCAGAGTTCGTCATGAAACATACATTTGGCGTGTTCCAATATTGTCTCTTTTTATGGTATTTACGCTGGCTTGATGCGTACTTTTTTGCTTTCCGTTTGACCGAGCCTCGAGAGATGTACTGTAATGTCGTTTTATAGGCAATCCAGTTGATATTGCAAATTACAAGTATGAAGATGTTGTTCGCGAGAATAAAATGTTCGAACGCTCGAACGAGAACGCCGTATCGATATAAGCTATGTCCAGAAGAAAAACCTAAAGTATCCGATTCATTCTGAATCAAGCGTAGGCAGTAATTTTAATACCACTCGACGATTCATTCCGTTTTCCTTATGCGCGTTCGGCTTAACGAGTATGTGCAAGGTCGCAAACCGAGGTCAAGCGTGAGTTTTCAGAAAGAATTTTATTACTTTATTCGAGCGTTGCGACGAATTTACACTGTCGCATCGAGTACTTCGGGTGCCGATATTGTTTTATCACGGTGCCAAGAGTAACCTGCCTAACTAGGCATTCTTTCATTGATTTAGGAAACAACGATTTCGGTAGGCTCACGTCGTTTTCTTTTCTTCCGAGAAGTTTTTCAATTATTACTTCAAGGTATTACTAATTGCTTTGCGCGGATTTAAGAAGTATCCGACGAGCATTTATAACTACGGAATTCGCGAAGAAGGATGATTTCGCGAGACGATACTCGATAGATCGCAAATCGTTTACGTTTACGCGAAGGGACGGACAAAACTTGTTGTAATGCGATACGCGAGAGAGTCGCGAGCCCGACAATAAGAGAAAAAGTGAGAAATCGTCCTTCGAGAGGCATCCAAGTTCGCGATCCCTTTGGAAATCCAATAACCACAGTACAGGTCGTAATCCTGCTCGGGGGTGAATCGAGCGCCAGCCGTAGAACAAGGCCGACTCGAAAGCACTTTGGGGGGTCGCTGTAGATCGACATAGAGACGCATCGGGGCGTGTTCGACAATTCACAATCGAGCCAATCGAGCGCGCGCCTTAAGAGCGCCGCAGTAGGAGGGGGTAGGGGGGGCGGAAGGATCGGCCTTATCACTCGTTAGCACACGACGCCAGAGGGGACAGATAATTACTTGGCACTCGGTCAAGCCGCGAGCAGGCCTTATCGTATAACGTTTAGCGGCAGATGTCACTTATATAGCTGCGCGCGAACATTAGTCGGCGAGAGAGCGCTAGCCGTAATTGTTTCCCGCGAGCGGCCGACATCGTCGGAAGTGTCGGAGATTGGTATCTCAGACGCTTCGGCGGCGCTATTAACCCGCAGCCCCGTGCGCGCACGCCATGTCGTGGCCGCGCCCCGCGCCTACCCACGCGGTACGCGCCGCGCCGAGGGCGAGACAGGCCAACTATTTGTCGCTCGGCAGCTACGACAGCCCGTACAACGCCTCCTCGGCCCCGCGCTCTCCCTCGTTCTCCGTTAACGGACTTGCGCGGTCGGAGAGGCTGGACGAGCGAGCTCCCGAAAAGCGCGCGACGAGAGTGAAAGGACAGCCGCTGCCGGTGGTTCCGCGAGGGGGGGTCGCGTGGCTCGATCTCGAAAATCGCGCAACCAAGCCAGCCATTACGCGACGGCGCAAGCTCGCTCGTGGCATTATACGCGGCCGGCGGCGAGAGAAATAAAGGAGCCCTTACATCCCTCATTTGCAATTCAAATGGCGGCCAAATGAGCGCCACGCCACGGCGAGCCAGCGATCGACGCGATTGTCACTTTTGCCACGGGCCAGTCGGTCGTCGCTCGTTGAAAAACGGATTCGCCTCGGCGGCGAGCTCAGCGCAGCCGCGATTTCGATCGGTGCCGCGAGGCCCGCTCCCCTCGTACGTGAGACGTACCTGCGCTGCGAGTGTAACGATCGGTGGGGGGGGGGGGGGGGGGGGGGGGGGGGGATCGATACGGACGCACACGGGCAATCCGTTCGCCCCGTTAAATCATGCATCGAAATGTAAACATCGAGAAGCCGCGTGGCGCGCAAGATCTTAATTGCACGATAGCGCTACTGTGCTATTTGGCCTGCGCGAGCGCGCGAAAGACAATAACGTCGCGTTTCCGTACAGCGCGGTCGCGCTACTTTCGCTCGCTCGCTCGCTCGTTGTTTTACCACTTTTATCGCTACTCGCTTTTTCACCAGGCTCTACGGATTACCGACTCGGACGAAAGGAAATCCGCGAGCAAACGCCAACAAACAAAACGAAGGAGCTCGCCGCGAGTGAGGAAGGTTGCTTCGCACGCGCGATAGGTGCACCCTCGTTCTCGCAAGATAAATATTTGCGGGAGTTGGCGCGCGTCGGGAGCGACGCTCCATCGGTGTCCTTGTGCCAACAGCCAACGAGGAAGAAGCTTGGGAGCGCCGAGGGCGCAATTAAGCGCGCCGTTGGCACCTCGTATATAGCACTTATATCGGCTGCTCCTCCCGTGAAATTATGCTAATCGCGCTCGGGCGCGAGCCTCCTCGGACGCGTAATTGGCCGAAAATCGCCGAGCAGCAGCGCACCGCGGGTGCGAGCGTCTCCTTAACGCCCCAATTATCACGGCAATAAAGCCCGCCGCGATTTTTCCGTGCGCGCGCCTGCGCACACACAGCCTCCCCCCCTCCTTCCTTTTTTTTCGCACCTACGAGCCTGGCGCCATTTGCATAATTGCGGGGTTATACGTAGATTTTTCTAGGGCCGCGCACGAGCGACGTTGGCTCGTTTTCGAGCTGCAGAAACGCAAGGAAAGATCGAGGTAAACGAGTCTGCGCGTTTGCAGTTTTGTTCGAGGGTCGCTCTGCGGCTTTTTCGAGACCCAATTGCGTACAGACCAGCTTTCAAATTGGATTTGTATTTGTGCTTCTTTTTTCTAGACTATAGTGAAAGGATTTTCAAAAGTCTGCGAAAAATTCTGATAAAACCTGTGGGACCGTTGATCACGAATTTCGTTGATGGATTTTGTTTTTGTTGAGAGGTGCGTTGATTTCTTTTTAAGATTCATACATCTCTATATAGGAATAGGTATTTCTTCTGTATATGTTTTAATTCGCAAAAATAATTTGTACTTATATGAAAATATATAAGAGAATGAAAAGAAAAATAGAATAGATGAATGGCCAGAATATACGTTCTGATATGTAATATTACTGCCATTAATCATGAATTATTTGATAGACAAGACTTGAAAGTAACTATTTATCATATGGATTGTTTTGATTCGTTTGACGAAAAAGAATAATATTAATCATCTAACGCCATCCAACTGAATCAATTAATGTCCGACTTGGGCCAACAGTTCTATAAACAAAATCTTCTCGTTTATTGTTTGAAATACTCAATGATATTTATCGTTACTATTACAGTACATTACTCGCTTATGAAGCTACGCGTTACACAGTCCTCTTCAATCGTCCGACGCGGCAAACGACGAAAGCGATCATATCGTTCACTTCATCACAACTCTATTGTCTCTCCCCTCGGAGAAGTCGAGGGGATGTAGGATTGTAATTACGCGCGAAAGAATACGCATCAAGATCCAACGCGAACGACAACGATCTCGAGAGACACGAAGCGAAGGTGTTTATACCTTGGTTTTACTGCCACCGATGCTTCCGGGCCTGATGCTCCCCGTCTCGTAGAAGCGGGTGAGTATCTTGGAGACGCAGCCGTGCGAGACGAGTAGCTGGCGGGATATGTCGCAGGGTCGCACACCCAACAGGGCGAGTTGCACGATTTTTTGCCTCACACAGTCCGGCAGAGGACGACCGTTCACGAAAACTCCGCCCAGTTGATTAACTCCCGCTTGGCCTGTGAACATGTGCATCAGCCGTTTTTATTTTTATTTTCTTTTTATACTGGCGCGCCGAGGCTAGGGTGTGAGAAAACTTGAGTGTACGTGCGTTGGTAATTATTTTTCGTGGCGACAGTTCGCTTTGTAATTATTTTTAAATGCCTTTCGTATCTGTGCAAGATCCAACGAGACATTTTGTCAGTTACTAATCAGTGAGTTGATTAACAGATGCCGTTTGTATTTTGTGGTTCTGCAAACGAGACGAAAATTCTGTTCGATTATAAGAAGAGAATTTCGAGTAAATTATTTTGTTGCGAACTGACTTGTCGTGCTCGTACGTGTAATTGTTAAAGCTCGAACGACTCTTCGTTAACGGTGCCAAATAGGAAAACCTTAAATTGACGGCTATTTAATTATCAAATGAAATTTCTCATCTCAATATTTTGCGCAAATGCATATTGAATTGGGGAATGAAATTTAGCTCCGGCTACCTATTAACTGTATCCTCGAACGATAATTTTCCGCGAAGGGTACTAAATACAAGCGCTTAATAATCGTAACTTTCGAATTTACATTGATTGCGATCGCTGCACGACGCTGAAAATCCATAAAATATCGGCCGGAGTAATGCGCGCGACAGTCGCAGTGGTGTCCAAAGTGGGCACATTGAAAACAGAAGACGATCGTCAAGCTTGACGCTAACGCGCGAATGAGAAAAAAGAGGCGCGCAACTTAATCGTCAATTAGCCGCAGGGCCCGCGCTCGATAATCAATAAACCCAATTTCCTCGCGCGCGCGCGCAACGGTCGGCCGCGCTCGGGAGCTTTATTGCGAGCGTGCCTAATTAGACGGCCGCGATTTTTGCCTCCGCCGCGCGGCAGCGGCGCAATTATTCGTAATTTTTCGCACGTCGTAAAAGGTGAGCGCGCGTTATCAGGCAAGCGTGCGCGAGACTCACCACTTGTCCGCATCCGCGTTATTGCCACTCTCGGCGTGCTTTATGGACGACCTCCCATTGTACATTCCTCGCGGGGTTGGATGCTGCGCTTTTACGCTGATTCGACGAAAGTCTCGCGCGAGCACGACTCTCTTGTTTTTCTTGTTTTTTTTTTTTTTTCTTCTTCTTTTCTTTCGCCGCGGCGAGCATCATTTACGGCGAAGAAGATTGACGGCACCGTCAATTACGCGCCCGAGCCCGAGTTTTCCGCTCGCGCACGCGCAACATCGGCGATCGACGGCTACCTCGAGTCCGAGGGCGCCGTGCGTTCCACGCTGCGTCGGCGAGGAGGCCTCGCCGGAGTGGCGCGAAAGCCGCTTTAATTGAGCGAGCAAAGTCCACGGCGATAATCCTCGGTCCGAAAAAGCGTCCCGCGGAGCGAGAGATCAGCAGGTGTCCTCGCGCGCGCCCATTAGATCCGCAAAAGGGATCGTCCTGTCGTGATAATTAGTAGACGCAGCAGCGTCGTCGTCTAACGCCGAAATTGCTTCCCGCGAAACAAAGCGCGCCTCCACCTGCGTCCGCGCAGCCGTCGACTCTGAAAATCTCATTATCGCTCGAGCACTCGTTAGATCGGTAGCCGTATTGCCGAGAAATTCGCCGGACGACGACTCTTTTTTTCCACGCTAGGGAATGTTTTCAAAAGAGACAGAGAGAGAGAGAGAGAGATCCGGCCGTCATTATATAGATGCGCTATGCCAGAGTTATCGATGCTCCGTCATTATTTCTGGCTTCTGTTTCTTGTCCTGCTGTGCTTTACTTTTCTCTCGTGTGTTTTTGCGATTTTTATTTAATTAGTTATTACCTTGAAATAACTTTTGCGCTTTGAAAATAAAAAGAAATGCAGGCCGGTGCATTGGCGAGAATGCCGCATGAAAATTTACATTTTGTAAATTAATTATACAGTAATAGTTACTAAGATTGTATTTCTTCATGTGCCATCGTCGAAGAAACGTAGCTTCTCTCGAGCGATTGTTTTTACAAATTCACGATTTTAGATTTATTCAAGATGCGAAGAAAGAAAAAAAAATGTTGACTATATTAAAAACTGTCGAAAAGCCAGAAAGTACGTCTTTGGAAGATCATGTGAAAATCTATACCCGTCATAGTTCCCTGGTAGACGATAATAAATCTGTCTATATCCCTCCCTCGGTAATGCGAACGTGCACACACGCACAACTCGATCGTCGACTGTGGCTCGCTCGCGCGCGGGTTAACGGTGCTCACGTCGGAGATTCCAACGGCGGCAAGATCTCTTAGGCGGCGCTAATGGCGAGTCGCTCTCTCTCTCTCTTTTTCTCTCCCTCTGTCGCTCTCCTCTCGCGGCGACGATGCCGTCCATAAATCGAGCTGCACGCGCTGCAACAGCTAATTATCCGTCCGCGACGCTAATAACGTCATTAACTCAATTACGCGCCAGTCGCCGCCCTTGTATCCGCGCGGATACTTTTTTTTTCTGGTCGTCTTGCGCGTACCCGAAACCGAATTAATTGAAAATGTATTTGTGTTTTTTTACGCGCGAGCGTCGAATTAAAAGTCGTTTTGAGGAACACCTCGAGCGAAAGATAGCATTCTTTCCTCAAACGAACATGCGCGTAAGGGTGGCGTGGAAGGGGGTGGGGGGAGGGAGAGAAAGCGCGCTCTTTCAATTAACGACGACATCGTGGCGAAACTTGGCGGCACGCCTAAGCTTCAGGCAAAGACCACCCAACGGACGTTTGCCACGCGAAGTTACTACGGGAGCCGCGCGGAAATCGTCGTTAGCGGCGGAAAGGAAGGTGCGCGTGAAATCCAAACGGGAACGAGGCGTAAACGAGGCTCCCGCGTCGGATAGTCCGTTCGGGACTTCCGCATTTCGGAATGAAACGAGCGAATCAATCATCCCGCGCGATAATCGCGAAACACTTAAGCGTCGATGGGAATCGGCTAAAGACACCGCAGTACAAACAATAATCGCGCAACAACCGCCACTTAAGGCGGGCTGGGGAGGCTTCGAAATAAAGAGAAAAAAATAAAAAAATAAGGGGGGCAAATCAGCGACGGGCCGATTGTCATCGAGGCGCGTACAACGCGCTCGGAATTAGCGAGCTAACGCGATGGCGCGGCTTCGATCGCTATCGGACTCGCACCTGCGCCGCCCTTCGATTGTTACTTTCGGCGAGGGCCACGCGACTGCCACGCGGATTTTTATCTTGTTCCTTGGCGCGCGCGAAGAGAGGGAGAGAGAGAGAGAGCGAGAGAGAGAGAGAGAGAGAGAGAGAGAGAGAGCGAGAGGAGGAGGATCGCGTTAACGGCCGCTCTGTTCAAGTGATTAAGGCCTCTTTGATGATTTCGCGTGTTCCTTTTGCAGCAGGGCCGAGGCTGACGATGGGCTGTTTTAGGACCTCTCTCTCGGCCTCGAATTAGAAGGTCGTAAAGTTGAATGGAAATCGTTTTGTCTGGCGCGTTGAAATTGCAACGAGCCACTGCCGGGATATCTTTTTCCCTGGCTCTGCGCCGTGAATATTTATGCCTTTTCACGGTCAAGCCGAAAAATTGGCGTCCGGAGAAATTGCACGCCGTTAGATGCGCGTAATGACGGCGGCGACCAACGACACGCTCGTAAAGAGGCACGTCGCGCGCACTTGGCTAGTTTCGAGGACTCGACCCATCTTTCGGTTCTAGCAGCGTCTGGGCATCGCGATAAAAAGTAACAGTACGCGATCAGGGTGGGGCGTCCGAGTCCCATTTTGGTACTCCAAGTGGGCTCATTATGCGCGACATTTATTCTCCGAAGCGGAATTCACGAACGTCCACGCGACACCAAAAATTAATCAAAATTTCTTTTTCGTGGAGATGGAGCTCATGAAAAATTCACCGCGACTAAAAGCATATATATATACGATCCTAGAGTGCGTGTGCCATATCGAGCCGACTCTTCATCGGGTCCACCTGTGCTGCGCGCATATAAAATTCCACGTTAATTACCGTCCCGAAACTCGCATAGCGTGTCTGAAAAACGAGGAGCCGAAGGAGAAAGATTTTTACGATCGTCCTTTTTTTTCCGAAGCCTCTGATGTTTGCCGATGGTAGCCGAAAGAGTTGCGCGGCATGTTGTCGATCGATTAAAACGATAACCCAATCCATAGACTCGTTTGTATTATTCTAATTTTTTTTAAGACCTCCCTTTTTAAGTCGCTTTTACGGTTATCGTCTACAAAATTATCGCTCGTTTTATCGACGACGCACCGAAATCTCATCTAAAAAATAAAAATAAAATAAAATAAATTAAAGTAAAATAAAAACATTGATGCGCGTGGTAATTAAAATTTATAATTGAGTAAGAAAAATTTACAATCGACGAAAAGGTTATTTATCCTTATCGCGTGACGCTCTCAAAACGCCTTGGAGGATAAATCAGATTTTTTTAGAAAGTTTTTATGTTTTCACAGAAGTATATATCGCGTGATTTATACTTTGTTGCGGATTTCATTTTTCTACAGCCAGTTCAGACTCTCGGCTTATCGAAAGTTTTTCTTATCACTATTTAGCTTCGATCAGCTCTCGGCTTGTTATCGAAGTGAAGAATTCCGCGCGACAACCTCGTGAAATTTTGGCAGAGAACGCGCTGCGCAGGTGTCGAACACGGAATAGCGCCTGGAGCCACGTCTTCGCGAAGGAGAAGCGTAGTTTCACGATAGATATGATCCTCGACAAAAAGCCTTACCTGTGTGTGGCATTTCGAGGAGCACGTCAAAGGTCCGCCTGCAAGAAAGAGAGAGAAGCAGGTAACATTAAAAGCCAGCGAATAACGCGCGTCGCACACAAGCTGCGGGGTTGTATGGAGGTGCTATATTAAATATTCCGATACGAAATCGCGTTATGGTCGCTCGCGCGCACACGCACACCGAGTGTATCCGCGAGTCGCGCCAGAGCGAAGCTAATGAATTTAAATGTATTCAGAAAAGAAAAGGGCGCGCGCGCACTCGACGTGCCCGCGATAAGGCCGCGAAATGGCCGGTAAAGTGTTGCGTTACGCGCAAGCGTGACTCGATACCTTTTCCTTTTTCGTTTCCTCGGCGACAGGGCTGACAAAAGCGGAGAGTTGGCGAGATTCGACGTTCCTCTGCGATCGGTCGGTCGTCGTTCCATCGCGAAACAATTTCGCCGGTGCCGCGCGAAATCCGCGAGAGTTCTCCTTTCGCGTTATCGCGTTCGGCCAATTGGTCTTGCGCGGCCGAGAGAGAGAGAGAGAGAGAGAACAGCCGTACAGCGATGGCGTGCGTTTAGCCATGCAAATTAATGCGCGATTACCGAAGCGCTCGCGCGCTCGGGTGCGCTTGCGCTCGCGGCAGCGGCGACCCCCCTTCTGGCGACGTTGCGCTTTCTCGAGCGGCCTGCCTGCCCCCGTGCGCCGGCGCTACATCCTAATCTGATTTAATTATTACGCATTACGCGACCTCCACGGCTTTGCCGAGCGTGAGGCTCGGACACGCTGCGCCCTGTCGGGCCTCCTTTTCCCGACCGAGCTCGCGTCTCGCTTTGTCGGCGATATTGTCGAGCGACACTTGCAACGCGCGATGCACCTTGCGGGATGCACTGCTCGCCTAACTCGCCCGAAATTCAACGATGAAATCAGTGAACAAGCCGTCCCGAAAATGCCCATCGCGCTTTAACGACTCTGTGCTCGTTCGTCGAAAAAACGAAAATAAAGTCCATCGCGTCGTCGCCTTTTTCTTTTCCTTTTCATTTCATTAGCGAGCGATTCCAAGCCGATAACGAGGTATAAGATCGAGCGGTGCGATTATTATAAATCAAACGAGGAGAGCGCGCGCGCGTGCGAGAAACGTCTTGATCAGCGGTATTGCGCGCTCGCGTGGGCAAGCTGCGCGAATCGGCGCACAATTAGAGAGAGAGAGAGAGAGATATGAGCGCATTCTCGTGCGTGCGCTCCGTGGCATTCGTCAAGTTCGCGCAGCGTCAAATGAACTTATTGCTTCCCTTTTTGCCAGTCGCTCGCCGAGCGACAGCTTAATTGTTGGATATCGCGATTATGCGAGCGCGGTTCGACTTGATCTCCGGCCGTCGGAGCGGTCTCGTCGACGGGCAGCTCTGTTATGGGCGTGCAGTCGAACCTTTCGCCGTGGCTCGCGCGGCGGGAAACGCCGCTGGAAAATTATTTGCGCTTCGCGTTTTTACCAAAGGGCTCCGGGGACAACGAGGCAAACGTTCCAACGGCGCCTTGGACAAACATCGCGTCTCACGGTACCAGTCTCGATCGATCGACCAAGCGAAAGCACTAAAGAGCCAACTTGACGAAAAAAAGGAAAGAATGAAAAAGAAATATATATAATGAAATATTACCGCAATCTCTCCGCTCCGGAGCTGATCAGTCACTTTCGGAGTATAATAATAAAAGGAAAGAGGGGATCGGTCGGCGTAAAGGTCACGCTTCTGTGTGCCGCGAACGAGGCGGCGGTCTGAAATCTAGTTTCTGCTCTGCGCCGCTTATTCATTAGCCGTCTCTGCTCGTCGAGGGAGGGGTGATCGCGAGCGCGGACAGCCATAAAAATCCGAATATATTAGGCTGGCGATGTCTCCGGGCGATAATATCCGGCGGGCTCCGTCGGTTCTTGGGCCGCTCGAGCCGAGCGTGGAAAAGCCGCTACGCACGCGTGCGACACTTTGTCCGGCCTTGTCAATTGCTCGCAATGTCGCCGAGGAAAGAGGAGCACACGTCCGATGGATGGATGCACTTTGACACAGGCGCGCGCGCGCGCGCGCGACTCACTTGCATCCGCATGTAGCGCGAGTGTAGAGACGACCACGGCGACAGCGCGACTGAGCTTTCGAAGCTGTACGCTCGCGCGAGGGCGGGGGGTAGTCGTGTGGGTCGGGGGTAGTAATTGGAATAATTCGGGGCGGTCACACCAGCGAGAGAGAGAGAGGGCGAGCGAGAGAGAGAGAGAGAGAGAGAGAGAGAAACGGAACGAGGAAATTTGCATTTTAAATGAAGCGATGGCGTGCGCGCAGCCGCGGGTGACCGCCGCCAGCGCTGCCCACCCCGCCAGCGTATGCGAGAACTTTGTGTTTTCATTACACGAGCAAACCTTCGCGTTTATCGCGCTCGCGTAACCGCCGCTTCGTATGCGCGAAGCTCGTCGAGCTTTCTCGCTCGTGCCCCTCGCTCGCGGCGGACCGAGCCGTCGCGCTCCAATTGCTCGACGAGCGCGCGGCCACGTCGATCGAAAGTGCGCTACTAACCTGCGAGCTCGTCAGGACGATGAGGCTTCATGCGCGCTCCGTTCGCCGACGAGCAGCCGCTGACTGTCGCAGGCTCGTCCCCGCGAAGGTGAATCCCGCACTCCCCGTGCGCGAGAACGGCTCAGAGAGTCGCAGAGCGGCCGGCTGCCATGGCGAACGGCGTCGAGACTGAGAGCGCGGGTGACAGGTGCCGTGAGGAGGAAGAAGAAGAAGAAGAAGATGCGATGCTGTCCACGCGAGGGACACGGCGTGTCTGAGTTGCGGCGTGCGCGCTTCGTGGTTCGGCCCCCGGGCTGCGACTCTCTGGCCGCGCGCACACGCAACTCTCGTCTCTCTCTCTCTCTCTCTCTCTCTCGTTCTAGTGGACGACACGCCGCCGCCGCCGCCGCTGCCGCTGCCGCGTGCGACGAGGAGGCGGAGATGATGCCACGCGCTAGCTGCTGTGTGCCGATACGCGACTCCGTGATCGCACATACCGAAGGGTAGTGCTCCATTTTGCGAGCTACGAGATGATGCTGCGAGAATTGTCCCAACGATTAATATTGTTTTTGGGCTGTTGAGACAGAGGATCATGGTCGCTTAGGGCGCTCAGGGAATTCAGCAAGCAAGATACGTGCTCGCGTATGCGTTTGCTACTCGGTGCAACGAACGAGAAGAAGAAAAAAATTTGATTGGAGAGAATTCTCGTCCGCTCGTTCGGACCTTAATGCGACCGGCAAAAAGCCAAAGAAAACAAGAAAATAAGCAATGGATTGACACTTTGGAAGGTGTTAAGTGGAATTTCAAGCGTACGGCAGCCATCAAATTTTATTATCGATGCCGCCGCCGTGTAGCATCGGTACGCAGCGCCAGAAGCAGAAAACAATTTCGGCCGATGCGCCGTATAAGACTAATCGGCGAGTAATTTACTCTCGGCTCGGTCTCGTGTATTTTTCGGGCTGCGTACGTGAGGCGAATTCCGCTCGCTGGCCGCCGCGAACCAGAGACGCGGCGATGGGTTTCTGCGTGGCCAAGCACGGACGACACGGCGAACGTCGTGCCCGGCAATCTGTCAAGCTCGAGCCGCGCGTGTACGCGCGCCGCCGAGTCGCGACGTCATCGAGAGCGCCGCGGTGCGCGCGTACCCTTGTAATGGACTGGGTGTCGAATGACAAACAAACAGACGAGGGGTGGCTTTAACAACCCCCCGCGGAGTAATTGTGCGGTAACGAGCCGAGCAGGTTGCGTCGCTTCACGGATCATCGCCTCCCAAAACTGCCGCGACTGTCTTACTACGACTGCTACATTTTCTGTCTCTCTCTCTCTCTCTCTCTCTCTCTTCGATGCCACGGATTTTGAGAGGGTGCGCTGATTCGATGATTTATGGATTTCATCGAGTGATTCTTTCTGCGATGAGCGATGTTTCTCTCTCTCTCCCTCTCTTTGGGCGAACGTTCGTATGCATATATGAGGTAGTGCGTTGTCCAAATGGTCGATGCGAATAAATAAATCGATCATAGTAAATTCGATAAAACAAACTTTCAAGTACAATCGAGTTCACAAATTTTCAAGATTTTAGTATCCGACGGATTTCATTCTCTTTCCTTTTCTATACGTGGCGACAGTTTAATTAAAAATATGAAAAAAAAACGTCGTACGATACATTTTATAATTCACTGTATTTATACTACAACGGATGATGTACGTGAAAAATCAGTTGCATCTTTCGAAAAAAAAAAGTATCGGACAGTCCATCTGACGGCGTGTGCGCAATAAAAAACTTACGAAAATAAAAATAAATAAACGCAAACGCCAAAAGAAAAACTCGCTCCAATAGCTACCAGCAGCGAAAATCAGTGGAAACATTGTTCCAGCTTGAACTGCCAGCCCGCATCGAATTCCGATACTTCGCGGCCGAGATCAATAGGCAGGACGTGTAGCGCCCGACGACTTTTCCATCTCTCGAAAATAGCCTGGCACCGGGGCGAAAAAAGAGTTCCGATTCACACGGTTGAATCGCGGCTGTAACGAACTCCGCCGCAGTCACCCCCCCCCCCCCCCCAAACCGGCTCGTCCCCGGTTGCGTCTCCATTAAAGCGTATCGCCACCCCTTCGGTTGAATTTCCTTCCCCGAGAGCGCGACTGTGTAGAGTGCTTTGGTCCACTGACGTCCCTCGCGCGATAGCATCGCGCGACGCTACTGGCTGACAGGCTTTACCAGGCCAACCCCTCTTTCGAGCCTCGCCGGGCTTCCACGCCCAGGAAGGATGCGCCCCCGCTTGCGCACTTCGCACTTGCGTCACTCGTTCCTCGCTCCTGCGAGCGCCGCTCGATTTACAAGCACGCCGGAGTAGGCCTTTTTCCGCGCGCCGGCACATGCGCTCCGTACGCGCGATGTGCAGCAATACCCCGAGCGATTCTTCCTTCAAACTTTTTCATTGCGTGGACGTTGCGCGCGGATGCGATTTTTCGACTGATGTTCTCCGCGATCGGACGCGTCATATTTTTCATTGTGTCACACTGCTCTGACGCGGCGAAGGAATGATCTCCTCGAGCAGTCTACCAAAGCAATGCAGAGTAGCAATGGACAGTCCGAAATGACCGAGACTGTTTTCTCATTTGCGAGTCGCGTCAGAGAGCAAGCTCTTGTCGAAAAACGACGCAACTGGCGACGCAGAAGCGAGCGGCGGTCTTGGAGCAATCGGAAAATTGCGAAGGTGCGCGCGGTCTAATCGGCGCGACTCCGTAGCGCCGACGGGATATACGCCGGCGTTGCACGCCAGCTCGCAATAAGCGCGCCGCAATTACCCCCCTAGCTCTTTTGTTTTCACGAGCTCGCGCGCTAATGCGCCGAATTATCTGAATCAACAGTCGCGTGGGACGAAAGCGCGCGTAGCTCGGGCTTGCAGCCTCGCGTCTTGCGAGTTTCGACCACTTTATCGGCAATCCCGCGGTGCGGCCCGATTGAATCGTTACCGTTCTGCCAAAACAAGCCAACACCTGGAGCACCAAATTATCAAACGCGGCGCTGCTCTTTTTCGGCGTACCCTATCTATAATCAGCAACTTCCGCTGTGCCTCGACAAATCTTCTCGACGAGAGCGCGCGCCACCGCCCACTCTCTCTCTAATCCACTTTTCGGCTTGCGGCTAACAAAACTGCAACGCTGCAGCGCTTTACCAGAGAAAGGGAAACGATCGTTTCCCGAAAGCCGACTTATTCAATTAAAGCCGACTGCCGCAAAAAAGCCGAATCGCGGCCAGAGATAATAAAAAGTAGCTCGGACTTCGTGGAATGCCCGTTTATTACTTCATTTGGACAGGTGTCGATGATAGAGCTTCGAATATTTTTCGGGATTCCTCCAATTATCAGCGGCGCAGTCGAAGTGTAAAAAGGGGGAGGGCAATTGCGCCGCAAGCGCGAAGCCACGGAAATAACAGTGTTTGCTTTTGCGATCCTCCTCCGAAAAATCGTCGAGGCGCGTGCATTAAAAGAGAAAAAATAATACGGCTCGCCGAGCTTTCGCGCCAAATAATTGCGACCTGTCCCTTTTCTCTCGTTGCACGCACTTTTTTTCTCGTCGTCTGCGGCTCGTTGGGTTATTTTTCAGAATCGATCGGGATTTCGGTTTTTTTTTATCTTTTTTTTTCGGCGCGCGTCGGGAATGATTTAATGGCTCGATATTGGATGATTACCAGAAAATTGCCAGTGACTTTGGTGAATTTTTTGCGTTCGATCGAGGAGGTATGTGAAAATTGACGACGATTCTTTTGAGAACGCCGAAAATGTGTCAGCGAATCCGGGGTGGCGATTGAAGTTACATTGCTAGCTCCAGCTTGTCGACTTTGGTCCAATATGAAAATAGTACATTTGCCCACGGGTGCGCGAGTTCGCACTGTACCAGATTTTTTCGTGCGAGAGCCGGAAAAAAGCGCGCGAAAGATGCAATTTGGAGGTATTTGATGCATTGACGTTCGAGCAAAGTAATCGATAAATATGAATTGTGAAACGAAGCAAATGCGGGCGATTTCATTGATAGGCTTCGAACGAAGCTTGCAATGCTTCACGTGGACTGATGTATTACACCGGCGTGACTTTCGAGTTTAGGCGAGCGAGCATGTCATCCGTCTAGCGCTCCGGAGTAGACACTAGAGTAGCCGGAGCCTCAAAAAAGAAACCGCGAGGATTCGGTATCTCCGGAAATTTGATTTTTTCCCGCGATGCCTTGGCAGGCGAGCCGATCCGGAGGTAGGCACGCGCCGATACATATCCTTCCATTCTAGTTTTTTACCGATCCGTCGGACTCCCTCGGCAGTAGGTCGCTAATGAATTTCCGTGCGCGATGGAGAGATCGGGCTCCCGAGATACCGGCGCGTCGACGCGCATCAAATGGATTTTCGGCGAGCTTCTATTATTTTGGCTATACGCGCGGAGGGCTGCA